ACTTATAAGAATAAGGTGTACATTATGTTTATTATATGTGCACACTATGTTGTATTTGATTCACATTTATGGCGGCAAACCGTGTTCCTGCTATGCCATTTTGTTTGTTCAGTTAGAAGTTGTGTATGCGTGTAAAGGCTTGAACATACACATACATAAAATATTTATACATGAACATAATATGAGTGACAACTCTCCCATACATGTCCTTTGTTATCTCAATATTTGCAAGGAGGTTGTGGGCCTTGTTGCCCTCCTTGATATATCTGAATGTGCATCAAGAGATTCATTAATATTGCACAATAATTTCTGAAGCGTCAAATTGATGAAATTCTATCAAGCTCCCAGCCATCTGTTGTGATTTGTCATTTTGCTGAAACTGGCATGAATGCAGGAACAGCTGAAACCATTGGCTTTGCAACTTGCGAGAGTAAAGGATTTACCTGTTCCTGAATTTGGAAGTCTGCAGGCATGGGAAGCTAGGGCGAATGCAGCTGCTCGTGCAAATGGTGATTTAAATGCACTGGATCCCACCAAATCTTCTCAAGGACAAGGATACAGTGGAACACCTATGCCATTCCTTGGGGAAACAAGAGTACACATCTTATTTTATTTCTTTGAATTTTATGATAACTTTTGGTTAGTTATATGATGATCATTGCCATTTATGTCAAGGTTTTGGTGGCATTGGTATTTGAATGTTGTGCTGTTTCATGTTCAGGATTCGTCTTTGAAATAGAGAGGTGTGACTAAAGTTGTGCCTGTCATTACCATTCCTGATTTTTAAATCTTGTAATTTTTCTATTTTTAATAAAAATAACTGCATATTAACCACTAATTATTGATCAGAAATCTGGAGATGATAAGTTTGTCAGTCTGTTTTTTTTGCTTTCTTAAAGTTTTTGTGTGCATGAATTAGCAATACTTACTAGGTTAGTCAATTTACTTGATTAGGATTATGCCAGCCATTTACAGGCTCATGTTATTGTGGCTGAGAACATATATGATAGTATGTATTATACTCAAACACATTGTGTAGGGTAATCATGTTTAGAATGATGAACTCAAGTCGTGAATTCTCTATGACAGGAGAAAATAAGTGCAATTGAACAGATCAAAGTGCTTTGACAAATGATCTTCTTGGCTTGTTTATTTTAGTCTTATCATTGATAAATTGATGAAATTATAGCTCTTCACTAGTCATTCACATTATCCTCTTTGTTTTCCTTCATCTGTTTCTTTCTTGTTCTCCTACTAGATTTTTTGCATCATTTAGTCATCTGATATCATCTGCTTATCAAACCTGAGCACCATTGTGGTTTCTTCCAGTTTGCTAGATCGTGCACATCATATGTTTGGTAGTTTTTATTAAAATAAGATCAATATTTTCATTATGTTTTTTCTGGTGTGGTTGCGGAGTATTCAATGTTCATACTCAGTTTTCTCTTTTAGGAGTCTTAAAAGAGTTATGACAGGTGTCAGTATCCTCTTTATCACCGATCTCTGGTTGCACAGTCCTAAAAAGGTTGCAAAGAGCTTAGATAGTTTTGATCAATAATGGGTTTGATTGGTTGTTGTAGAGTTATGTCCAAAAGCTATTTGGGTAGCCAAATAGTATAATTCTAGGAAACTCTATGATACTCTATTAGCTTATCCAAAAATCTTAACTTGGGCTTAGTAATACTGTCCAAGGCATCCCTGCTGACCGGCTTCTTGCACACTCATATAGTTCACACTGATCCTATGACCATATATTTTTGTCTATCAATAAATCTCTAGGCACATGTGTGGATATGTAAATGAGATGAGGCGCTTTCTGTGATGGCCTGTTTGTCAGGCACTCATGCTTTGATGCCATGGCAAGGCAAATCCTTTGTCCTATTTGATTTAGGATAGTGATAACAGGTCCATTTGTAAAGGAAGTCCGTTGAGATGCAATTCAAGATTCTTGAGATAGAAAGTGGTTTTGTTGGGGGCCCTTCTCTTTTCTATCCCTTTTTATTGTATCCGCTTTTTCCTGCCTTTAGTATACTATTTTATTGTTGTTATCATAAAATCAGCAGTATGCTCTTGTTCCCGCCAAAGCAACCCTGACTAATTGGATTTGATCCAATCCTATTGGTGCAGCTTCCTGACTGCAAGGTTATAGCAGGAATGCCTAGGGCTCTTTCTTCTGAATTTTCCATCGTTTTTGTTCTTGGTCCTGCAAATATCAATTAAGTCCTGCAAATATCAAAGAAGAAAGAGCCCTAGGCATTCCTGCTATAACCTTCCTGACTGCAA